ACAGGCAGAAGGAGAAGACAGCCTTAAAAAGATGCAGCTGATGGAGCTTGCAATTCTGAATGGCACCTACAGAGATGCCAACATCAAATCACGTAAGCATGTCATAAGCTCGAGGGTCAATGCCATAGTAGTGTTTGCAGGGTTTGATTCCTAAAGCTACTTTTTGGCAAATGTACAGTAGCAACTGTGCTGGAGAATGGAAGGCAGTAAAAAAACCAACAGAACAGTAGGTAGCCATTGCAAAAGACCTTCTGGAGATAAGTTATGTCAGTTTGGGTTTGGGTTTTTTTTTTTTCTGTTTGTTTTTCCCCCCCCTCTTTTTTTAAACAGTGTGTCTGGGTTGAAATATTTACAAATAGATACTTTACAAAAATTCAACCCTTAAGCCATATTTTTCTATTTTACAATCATTTTTTCCTTAATACCTATAAAGGACAGTGGACTCCTTTTCAATTTTATTTTTAGAGATTTAATTTGAAAATGTTATAGGATACTGTGAATACATTTTTCTGTATTGTATTCCTTCCTTTCATCTTGCTTGCATGTGTCCCCCCAATGTTATGTTTTTCCAACAATTCATCAACTGATTTCACAGCTGAGTTCACAGGGATCAGTGATGTAATGAGCCATTTTTATGATTTCTTCCATTACATTTGTGTGAGAATGCTTTTGCAAACGCATGTATGCACAGGTTTACATTTGAAAATTAATTACATACACCTACTAAAGAAACCATATACCTATTATGTGTGATACAAATTATTTTCTCTAGTTGAAAAGCTAATTTCTCTCCCTGAAAATGTAGTTGTTGATACTGTTCCAAAGTAAATTCTTGCTGTAGCTCTGATACAGATGTCAAATGTAAGCACAGTTAAATCAGCCTTTTCACTAAGGGCCTACTGATATTTGCAAATTTGTTTCTCCACACAGTTACCATTTCAATGTTGAATATGTTTAAAGGTTGGAATGCAGTTAGGTCAATCTGAGAGTGCTTACACCAGTGTAATTATCTGATTTGAAAAGAGACGTAAGCAAGGGCTTTTACCACTACAATTGGTAGTGGTAAATCTTTCAGCCCTGATGAACACTGTAATATTTAAAGCTAGATCAGTTTTATATATATTTTAGTCTCTAAATTATTGCAAATTTAGGAGTAAAATAGCTTTCGGATTAGCTTAAATTGATGCAAACTGTTGCATAGAAACCTTTATATTAATTTGAGCAATTTCTTTGTCTGTTCTATTCCCATTGGTCTATTGTCAGTGTAAGTGGAAAGGTGGATTTTTTTTTCATTTTTTGACTAGAGATTTCCACGCTAATACTCACTTTTTGATAAGAAGACAATTTCACTGTTTGTGTTTTGATTTTTCTGAAAACTTGAAGATGTAGAAGCCATAGTGGTTTATTTCTGTTTAAGAAAGGAAATGGAAATGTTTGAGGGTTTTTTTGAATTATATATTATGTCTAAGCACTTTTGTTTAAAAAACAAAAATAATTAAGAAAACACAACAGTCTCAAATCTGTAAAGCTTCCCCCACATTTCTCTCTTTGGACCACCTGTAAGTTAATTAAATTGATGTAGATAACAGTAGTGCATAGAAATCTATAAATTATAACCCTTTAAGATTGACTGTTACCAGCTGATGTGTTAGTGTTTAAGAAGTTGTTCATCTTGTGTGCCAACAGGCTTTTCAAATAAGACTTTATGAAATGTGTTAGCAGTGGTTTTAATAATAATAATAATAAAGCAGCTATTTTCTTTAACTTAACTTATGCAAGGCCATAGTGAACTTCTAATACAAAGAAAAGATTTTATTTTGGGGAATTTGATATGGAAATCACTTGAGTCTATTTTACTGATGCTAGAATAGGAGAGGAGATGCATTGTGTTTCTAGGTCATTTTTAACTTCACTGATCCTGGAAACTTGGAATTGTGTATATGTTTAAATACAGTCTTAAGATGTATCATGTGTAGGCTCATACAGCAGCTCTACATAACTGAGTATCTGTGGACTCTGTAGTTGCACTAAATTTTGTACTCTGTATTTGATTATGACAGTATTTTCCTTGTATCTCCTGCATGCATCTCAGTCTCATGCAGTCTTGATAGCATAAATGAAGAAATGTGGTCTAAATGGAGCTTTTGTGCTGTGTAACCTGTTTGAGAAATCTACCTCACTGTTTTACAATGGCTTTTTTATTTTGCATGTTCATACTTAATCACACTGGAAAATGGAAAGCTGTTTGCATTTGAATGGTGTGCTTTGGCACTGTGTGATCAGCGCATGTACTAATGATTTCCTTTTATTTTTCTTCTTTCCTACTTTTCCCCTTTTTTCCCATTCTTTCCACGTTTTGTACTGCTATCTCCATACTTTCCTCTGAATTTCTTTGCTTACTGTAGCAGCCCTTGCCTTTTCTCTTGCAGCAACAGCCCAGGCTCCAAGGATTATTACTGGGCCTGCGCCTGTTCTCCCACCAGCTGCCCTGCGTACTCCTACGCCAGCTGGCCCTACCATAATGCCTTTGATCAGACAAATACAAACCGCTGTCATGCCAAATGGAACTCCTCATCCCACCGCTGCAATAGTTCCACCTGGACCCGAAGCTGGTTTAATTTACACACCATATGAATACCCCTACACGCTGGCACCAGCTACATCAATCCTTGAGTATCCTATTGAACCTAGTGGTGTATTAGGTAAGATCTTTGTACGTGGATGACTAGAGAATATGTTGCTTATGCTTTTGTGATATTTGCAAGGTAGACATCATGGGGCTCAAAGAAAAAGATTTGAAGCAACGATCTTATTTCAGGTATATCAAAACTGCCTAGGAAAACTGCGCAAATGTGTAACTTAAAGATTTTAACATGTTTTGCATTATTAAATATGTGTGTTTAGTATATTAATAAGATTACTGAAAACAAACTCTTAATGTTTCTATGACACTAGATGGTGGGTACATAGACAAAGAAAAAAAAAATAGAAGTTGACATCTATTATATGTCATCTGGGCTCCCATAAATACCAGATTTCTTTGTGCTCTCTTCACTATAAATTAATTTCCAGTAATCTTTGGAAGAGAGAATTTCCTATTTTGCTATACGTTTTTAGTAGCAAAACTGGAGAGAATGGAAAGGCCTTTTTTCAGTTTGTTGGGGTTTTTGCTTCTTTACTTAGTATACAGCTGATAAATCTCTCCTCAGTGTCAGAAAACTGTAAATCATGCTGTAAGCGGAAAATAATTTCAGTGAAAGAACATAAAGCAAACTAAGTTCTGACCAAAGGGTGATACAATTAGCAGCTTTACTGATGGGTTCTTTTATATGCATTGGATTGAAATGTCCGTAATTCCTAATATTTCAGACCACTGACTTGCTGTGTGAAGGTGCAAATGATAAAGCAGCTGTGACAGTTCGGTTAACTGGTCAATATGGAACAAGCAGCTCCAATAGTTTCTTCCTTCTCTACTGTCTACAGAATCTAAATAATCTTTTCTCTTCAACTTGTTGTGAATTGCATATGACCTTGGTGCTGCATAATGTTGATTTTATAGGACTTTGGTCTTAGTTTGTTCAGTGGCAGTTATTGATTTACACAAATTCTAAACATCTCTGATGAACACTGGACAATAAGGTTCAAAGTCAGTATTTTATTGAAAGAATTGCAAAAAATGAGCGTTTCACGTGACAAGTACTTGTTGAGTTGTTATCTGTATGTGCGCATGTTCCCATGTTATATGTTATATTTTATATGGTAAAAAAGAAAATGTATTTCAGATTTCTGCCTCTCAAGATTAGTGAATCAATAATAAAAATTTTCATAGGACAGAAGTATGCATTAGGGTTTGTCTTTGAGCAGCTTATGGTTGTTGTCTGTTATCCCATAGCCAAAACTCAGTGAGCATGTGATAATGTCATTTATTAATTGCCCACAAACATGTAAATGTTCTCCCCAGCTCCTCCACCCCAATCTGCGAGTCCACTTATGATACGTCCTGGGGTAGAGTCACAGTTACATGCATCATCACTGTAGCTATCAGTTGCTGGTTAGTAGCAAACCCCTCTCCTGAATTCAGTTAATAGCAAGTAAAGAAATACATCATTCCATAGTAGTAATTTAATACAATGCAGGGAACTTTGATTTCTCACAGGCTTTTCTATAAAGGGAGAGGAGGGGAAAGTTACTCCTAAAATGGCATCTGAAGCCATTGCATACTTTTGGGCTTAGCTGTGAGAGCACAAGCGTATTGCCCAGAACAGATCTTGCCAAATAATCTTATCTAAGAAGGGAAAAGGTGTGTGGGGGGGGAGGACCACACCCCCACTTCAGCAGCATAGAATCAGTAACTCTTAATACATCTGCTCTATTATCCGAGCAATTGTATAGTTAATTGAATTAAACCAGTTTTTCATTGAGTTTTATTTCATAATACACTCATTCTCATTAATAGTATGCTATATTTTGTCCATTTTTGTGGTGGACCTTTAGGATGTCTTAACATAATTCTGTTTAAAATGGTAGAGAAATTCATCCCTGTTAGTGTTTTGGGGGATATTGGTGTTGGGATCAAATTTTAGTTGGTGACTAACTTGTAATTCCCTTCCTTTTATCTTCAGGTATGGCTTTCCCAACGAAAGGCTAAGAATTCAAGAACGGTCTTAACTGATCCTTCATCAGATCTGAATTTTAACAAATGCTTAGTTTCAGCAGCCTTGAAAAAAGCTTGGCCTAGCAGTCAGTGACTTACTTGCACTTTTTTGCACATAGATTTAAAATAAAATAGTGCTATTAATTTGGATTAGCTCCTATTATTACAGAGTAGCTGTAATTTATGAGTGTATAGTAGTATACTGACTGCTAAGTGTTCTATATAGTGTTTGCTTTACTAATCACCTAATTCATTGCAGTTCATACTTATTTGACTTAAAGTTTAAAATCACAATCTGTAGGCTTGAAGAATTGCTTTAAAACTTTTTTTTTGTGGTAGAACTGGAAGTGATCTTAAGGTTAGCAAATAATTGTCAGTATTAAAAGATGGCATTATTTAAAATAGTCCTGCTGCAAGAAAGGCACTTCAGTGAATATGTGACTAGTAAAGCTTAAATGTGCTTGGGTCTAATAGATTTCATGAAATACTGTAATTTTGGGATTGTAAATGAATGGATTAAACAGGTTAAGGCCAGGATGTTTAAAATAAATGCAATATTAATCTGCACAGATAAACTTCTTTTTACGATTAAGATTTGAAACTACTGTGCCTTAACTTGTTGCTTTTCTTAAAATGAACTTTTGTAGTTAATGATCATTTAAATCCATTTTGATAAACCTGCTGTTAATGTTTTCTTTGAATGTTTTCTAACTTTGTCTTGGTAATTGCAATTTAACTAGGTGCGGTGGCTACTAAAGTTCGAAGGCACGATATGCGTGTCCATCCTTACCAAAGGATTGTGACCGCAGACCGAGGTTAGTTTAGTTCTGCAGTTCTTGTTTGTAAGAAGTGCTTTGAGTGTACATGAGATTTGCAACACCACAGCTGGTTAACCAAATACCATATTTTGACCCACTCATCATTTTTCTCAAAAATCTGAATAGTTAATATTTTAGAGGTTTGGGAATGCTTGCAGTTTTAAAAACATTTTGTAAGCTTTCCCAGCTCAATTAAATACATAGACTTTGTGATCTATTTAATATAAATGCTATAACTGATTCCCTTTTAAAAACTATTTAAAGCTCCATCTGCATCGGGAAACACTATGAATTCAGTGCTGCAGTAATTAATGTGATCATGTTCCCCCCTTCTTTCCCCAATTTGTTCTTTTAATTGGTGTGGAAATATCAGATTGGTGTTGCAAAATAAAATGAATGGATGGTTGCTTAATGAGAAAGAAGTAAAGGAATAAATGCCTCCTGTCTGTGTCTGGAGAAATCTGAAGATTTAGATTCCTTTTTTTCCAATAAACTTTTGAGCCACTGTACTGTATATTATGAGGAGGATGCATGTTCTCAGATACCTGACTGAATTCAGAAAGGTAAGGGCTGTGAAGATAATACTTCAAAAGTTGTTTGAGTTTGAATTACTAAGGCTGGGGGAAGGGAGGGTGTTTTGGTTTTTTGCCAAAATCTATTTCTTGGTATTTGCCTTTTGCTGCTAAAATGTGTAACCTGAAGGAGAAGCAACTTTTGAAGTCCTGTTGGTGAGATGACATCCAATATTTGGGCATCTCTCTTTAACCCTTGAATGGAAAGTAAATCTTCATTTTTCTCCTGTTCCTCAAGTGTAATGCCTTTGGACCCCTGAATGAAGTATTTAAGCTTATTGAGAAAAGTGATATTTTCGGTTTATTGACATTGGCTAGGAAGCAGTGTGTGGGCTGAACTCTTATCCCATCCCTGCTGCTGACTCACTGTGGGTTTCGGCAAGTCATTTAATCTCTCTGTGTATGTTTTCCCATCTGTAAAATAAGGATAATAATACTTCCCTACCTCACAGGGGTGTTGTGGGGGTTCTTGTTTTGTACAGGGCTTTGAGGATGCAAAGCGTTATGTGCCAAGTATTATTATTCTGCTCTCATCAAAATCAGTGTTGTGCAGGCTTCCATGATACTGTAATATTCAAAAGTCAAATTCAGGTGACAGTTCTGACATCTCCTAACATTGACTACACTTCACTTTCTCGCAACCTCCCATATATTAACTACAAGAAACAATACAGATTTCAGTCAATACAGCAAAAAGGGCCTTCCCGGATATTTGCTACATTTATGTAACACTTGTATCTTTCATTTGTAAGGATCTTATGCTTTACAGAAAGTGTAAAGCCAATAACAAGACACTACTTAAGTTTTCTAGAAGATTGCTTCTTCTTTTATATCACCGCACGCTATTTAGAGCCCATTGGCTTGTTCTCATTTCTTGAGAACTCTTCAGTGGGCAACAGGGTATAATCAGAATAAGGTCATAGCCCATGCTTGGGGGGGGGGGGGGGGGGGGGGAA